CCTTGGCGCAGATCAGCGAAAGTTCGTTGGCAAAGGCAATCTGAACGTCGCGCGACGAATTTTCGGTCAGCTTACACATCTCGGCCGTCCGGGCATTGGTCGGATGCAGCGCGCCCTCCACGAAACGGGCGTAAAAAGCCATCGCCCGCTGCGTCGAAGCCTCGTCGATCCCGCCGATCACCCGGTCGTTTTGCACCAACTCGTGCAACACGTTGCCCGGCAGCCCCGCTCCGGACAGTAGGCGACGTGCAGTTGCCCTTCGAGCTCGGGCCGCTCCGAAAAGATCAGCCTCGCCATCCGGTCGGTCGTTCCGACCGGCGAAGTGGATTCGATGATAAAAAGGTCGCCCGCTTTCAGCAACGGAACGACCGAACGCGTAGCGGCCTCCACGTACGAAACGTCCGGCTCGTGATTCCCTTTGAACGGAGTCGGCACGACGATCAGGTAAACGCCGCTCGCGACCGGCTTCGTAGCGGCCCGGAACCGTCCCGCCCGCACGACTTCGCGGACTACCTCCCGCAATCCCGGTTCGACAATGTGAATCTCGCCCCGGTTGACGGTATCCACGACCTGCGGATCGATATCGACTCCGATGACCTGCAATCCTTTGGATGCGGCACGGCCGCCGTCGGCAGGCCGATATAGCCAACCCGAGAAAAAGTATCTGTTCGGTACTCTCCATAACTGTTCTGATGCTTTTAGATACGACCGATCGTTGCGGCGCTTCCTGCGTCGCACAATCGGCGCGATAAAGTTACGGAAATTTACGAATTTCTACGCTATCGCCCCGTTTTAATCACATTTTCAGGCAGAAACAATTTCGGTCCGGATTAATGACGAAATAATTCCACGCAGGAAGGGATCCGGTCGATCTCGTAATAAACCGCATGAATCCGCTCCGGATGAACGATCACAATCTGCAAACCGGGTTTCTCTTTTCCCGCCGGGTGGCCGGCTGAACCGGCTACCGAGAAATGCGTATCGTTAAAATCGGATTCCATCCGGCGACACAGGTGTCCGGCCAGCACCAGATCGACGCGATAACGGGCGCAGAGATCGAGGTATCGCTGCCGTTCCTGCGACGGAATGTTTTCGTCGGCGTCGGGTTCGTCCGGCCGGTTTACAAAAAACGGATGATGTCCGATCAGTATCCGGCGCCGGTATTTCCCGGCGTGCCGGAGCTGCTTTTCGAGCCAATCGTATTGCTGCCGGCGCTGCCGGAGTTCCCCGCTTTTACGACCGGCGTATTCAGGCCGATCACGCAACACCCTTCCTTACGGAAAACGAAACGATCGCTGCCGTACCGGCCGATAAAATCCTGCACCGCTTCGGGCGAGGCTTCGTCCCCTACGTCGCAAGCGCCCGGCAACAGATAAATCGGGATTTTCGAATCGATCCGGCGGCACAACTCCCGGAACCCGGCCAGTTGGGCGGCGTTCCCGCGGTCGTTCACCAGATTCCCGGAAATCACCACGAATGCGGCTTCAACCGGTTGATCGCGTCGATAAACTGCTTGAACTGCTGTTTTTCCCGCTCGAAACCGCCGTCCTCACTACAAAGGCCCCAACCGCGGATCGCTCAACTGAACGAAAAAGAACGACCGGTCCTTTCCCGGGGCGGAAAAAGAAAAGGAAAACAGCATACAAAACAAAAAGAATACGATACGTTTCATAATCCGAGGAGATTAATGACGATATTCAGCACATAAAAAATGCTATGACCGGTCGTAAAGTTAAAAATAATTGCCATAATTCAAAAATATTTGATTCCATACGCTCTTTTTGCGCCATCGTCCGCTTCAGGAACGACTAAAATTCGGATCGTTCGGTATTTTTTATTCACGGATAAAACGGTATCTTTGAAAAGCACCGTTTTGAACATCGAATTACTATGAAAAGGATTGCCATTCTATCGTCCAGCGTGCGGACGGGACGCCTCAGTCACCGTGTCGCCCTCTATCTTCAACACTATCTGACGGCCAACGAACTGGCCGAAACCGAAATACTCGACCTGAAAGCGTACGATTTTCCGCTGTTCGAGGAACGTTTCGCCTTCCTGCCGAATCCGTCCGGAAAGTGATCGATTTCACCGAACGACTCGTGGCGGCCGACGCGCTGATCATCGTCACCCCGGTCTACAACGCCTCCTTCTCAGCCGCGCTGAAAAACGTCATCGACCTGTACCTGCAGGAGTGGCGCCGCAACCGGTGGCGGTCGTTTCGGTCACCTCGGGCAAAGTGCCGGGAATCGCGCGGTACAGCAACTCCAGGCTTTGCTGCTGAAACTCGGGCGTTGGTCGTACCGATGCTGTGCACGGTGATTTCGGCCGGGGAGACTTTCGACGAAAAAGGGACGGCCGCTTCTCCCGCAGCGACCGAGAAACTGCTGCGCCCGATGATCGACGAGCTACTCTGGCTGACCGGTAAAACCGGCGAATAAGATTCCGGGAAACCCGAAGACGGCATCTACCGTTCCGTCTCCGCCTGCCGGCTCACATAGCGGAACAATCCGTCGCAGGCGTCTTCCAACAGATCGAGCACCCGCTCGAACCCTGCCGCCCCGCCGTAATAGGGATCCGGAACCTCCGTTTCGTCGAAACGGGTGCAGAAATCGGTCATTTTCCGGATCTCGGCCCGGCCATCCGCCGGAGCCTTGCGGCGCAGGTCCCGGATGTTCCGATCGTCCATACCGACGATCAAATCGAAACGGTTGAAATCTTCCGCAATCACCGGACGGGATATCGAAGTCAGCCGATATCCCCGTTGAGACGCATGTCGCTTCATTCGAGGATCGGCCCCCTCCCCCGCATGGTAACCGATTATTCCGGCCGAATCCACCTCGACCTTTCCGCTCATTCCGGCTTTGTCAACGGCCTCGCGAAACACGGCTTCGGCACTCGGAGAACGGCATATATTCCCGAGACAGACAAAAAGCACTTTATATTTCCGTTCATAACAAATTATTTACATCCCGATCTTTTCGGTTTATCCGCCCGTTTTCCGAACACGCCGGGAAACGGATTTTATACCCGAGCAAAAATACAAAAAGTCCCGGAAAACCGCACCGGAAAACAGACCAACAAAAAAACCTGTAAATAAACAACATACAGTAAAACACCCGACAACAACTAAAAATTAGTTAAAAAACTTGCACAACTAAAATTTTAGTTATATGTTTGTTTTCAAATCAAACCGGTATATTATGAAAAAAGAGACGGAGCGGGAAAACATGCGGGAACTGACCCGGGCGGAACTCGAAATAATGCAAATCCTGTGGGACGAAAAAAACGCTTTCGTAAACGATATCCTCGAACGGATGCCCGAACCGAAACCTGCTTATAATACGGTTTCGACGATCGTGCGCATCCTCGAAAAGAAAGGCGCCGTCGGGCACGAAGTCCTCGGAAAAAGCCACCGCTACTACCCGCTGTTCGGGCGCGAAGCCTACACGCAAAACCTGATGCAGGGAGTCGTCCGCAATTTCTTCGGCAACTCATTCGCCCGAATGGTCTCGTTTTTCTGCGAGAAGGAACACTTGCCGGCCGACGAGTCCGAAAAAATCCTGCAAATCGCGCAGGAAGCCATCGCCCGAACAAAAAAACGAACCGAGTAACCCGGAACCGCACGGCGCACCCCGATCCGACGGTACCTCAACCGTAAAACTATGGAAACTGAACTACCCTACCTCGTCAAAACACAGATTTGCCTCGCAGCATTCTGGATCGCCTACCGGCTGTTGTTCGCACGCGACAAGGCGTTCGCACGCAACCGGGCCTACCTGCTGCTGACAGTAGCGGCGGCTTTTGTCATTCCGGCGCTTTCCGTTCCGGTATGGACGCCGGAGGCAACCGGAGGAGAACCGTACGGTTTCCGCATTCCGGCCGAGATCTTCACCGGAATACAACCCGAAACGCTCCCCGGCACCCGACCGGGCGGTATTCCGCAGGGACTCCGACTGTTTTGCTACGCAGGCAATCTGATCATGCTGCTGGCGTTATCGGCAGGCGGATTCCGGCTGTGGAGAATCACCCGTCGCGCCACGCTGCTACAACCGGGCAAAATCCGTATTACGGCCTCAACATGCAGGGTTCCGCCTTCACCTTCTTCAATCGCATCTATATCAACGAACTGGGGACGAAGCCGCAGGACATCGCGCAGATCGTCGCGCACGAGACGCACCATGCGAGACTGCGCCACAGTTGGGACATTCTGCTGTCGTCCGTACTGCGGATTCTATTCTGGT